CGACCAGACCCCCAGAGTTTCTCCTCAGTGCCAGATGAGTCTCACCAGATGAAGGAGGTCACGGGCTGATGACCTTCCAGAGCGCCGGGAGGTCCCAGGAGACCAGGAACACCCATGCAGATTTAGAAGGAGGTTTCATCAGGGACCCTTGCTGATCCTGACCACCTTTCATGCTCCAACTTGTTCGTCTATATAATCCCCCTGCCCCATCCCCAAGACGGGTTCACAGTTTTGAAGGCACTATCTTGCTGTGAGTCTCGTTTGCCCAGCAAAGTAATAAAGCTGCTTCTTCTAAGCTCCAAACCCAGTCTCTGAGTTATTTGGCTCCTCAGGGACGGGAGCCAATCCTTCGGCAATAGTGTGTGTTTGCCTTTGTCCTTTTGTGGCATTTTTGTTTTCCCTGTTGATGACATAACTTGTTGACAGACAAAATGGCTTCTGGTTGATGATCAGTGTATTTATGTTACTGGATTTACATTCTTCCATTCTGATCACAGTAGAGTAAGTCTTTTGCTCCTGTATTTACTTATGTGTTCAATGTTCTTAGAAAAATCTTAAGCTCTAGATAAACCCAATGCATCCCAATTGACTGAGGAGAGAGAGTTTGATGTTAAAAGGCCCTGGTTATTTACCAAGTCAAGAACAGACTCCCAAGCCTGATATATAAGAGTCTTCATAATAGACACCAACCTATAATTTCCTTTAGCTCTTCCTGAATTCCTACTACCTGAATACTTTACCCTCCATTTTCTTGTTTCAATTCACCGTTCCCTGGGCAGATTCCGAAATGTCCTTCAGAGGAAGAGCAGAGCAGTTGGGAGGATGTGGCCCTGGGTAAGTCAGTGCACCAAGCCTCAGTTTGCTGATCTCTGAAATGGACACAGCAACTCAACTCATAGAGTTGATGTGCTTCGAAGATTCAATTAGGTAACACTGAGTGCTTTGCATAGTGCTTGGCGTACAGAAAGTGCTTAAGAAATATTAGTTAATTTTGCTCCTCACCCCCAACCAGCTCTCCAGATACTGTTTCTTCTCTTCCTGAAGCCACTCAAGTCTTCAGTGAGGTCCATTCTGGCCTGCCATATGGGGATTCAAGTGTCATCTTGATTCTCCCCAGTGAATGATGGGAATCCTGGGGGCAGCACCCTGCTC